CCTATTCTACTCGCAAACTATACCTCTACACAGGATCACACATCACAAATCACTGCTCCTGATAAAAGGAAAAGCAATCCTCGTGAAATGGAAGAAAATACCACATGGAGTTTCTAAACTCGACTTATTTAATGCCATTTTCGGAACACCGGGAATGATATTACGTAACTCGTTTTTAGTTCACAGAGGAAATACTCCCGTGAAAGAGGTCCGACCGAGCGAATCTCACGAAACCGAAATTCATCTCCTTTCCTAATCGGTAGGATGTTGGGTTGTGGTTTTTAATGAATCAGAATTTTCGACTCCAGGGATAAGTTCAAGAGAAATCCGTTCCCAGGAGTGGTATGTCTTCGATGACGATCTAGTGCAAGACAAAAATTTATCCCTTGGCTTGCATATGGATGCCGGATCGAGTCTTTAAACTGCACTACATCGGTTACACGCCCTGGCCAAGCAACGTCTACAACTTAACGGTATTTACAGTAACGCAGTCGTAGTCAAATTCAAATCACTGGGAAATAGCAAAAACCTTCGCACATAATGGAACGACATTTTTAATAGTTGTTAGTTTGGAGAGATTTGTCCAAATCGCAATTCTTGACAAGCTACAGTGAACCACTTGGCAAGTACTCGACAACGAATCGCTTTTTCCCGCGTTTTTTTTTTCAAATGCGCGTTTTATGCACCTTTTGCTGAACGAGCGCTAACTGAGCTGGTGTTATCATCATCGTTATTATAGCCCCTAAAGCTTTACTCGTGTTCCGTATTAAACCACTGCTACTATGAGGATTTAAAGGTATATTATCCGGGACCCTGGCTTTGGATTGCGAGTGTGTGGTATACAGCGAAAAAGGGATACTCGAAGCTTATTCTTTTGCATTAAAGGGTACATTTCGGAGAAGAAAAGTTGAGCATATGTTAATATACGGCGGCCATATTGGAAAAAGCTGTATGGAAACAAAGTGTATTGAAGTCAAGGTGCAACAGCCAAAGGCCAAAGACCAGATGTCTTTACCGACTAACGATTCTTAAAGTCCAATTTTCGCGTGACTATCTACGTTTTGTCCCGTATATTGCGTTTTGGTCGCGCCAAGTGGTCTTTAAGACTGGTTATGTTTAAGAAATTTTAATCCTACTATTGTTATCGGAAACAACGGGGAAGATCAAAACATTACCACCTTGCTTCCCCCTTTTGACTSGGTAACACCTTTTCATTTTTTTTAGTCAGTCATTCTTGTGTCAGACCCAATGTCGAGCCTCGCATGCGCCGAAGTSAAAGCAAATTACGCCATTATTCCAATGTTTCGTGTGTGTTCATTATAATCTCATTTGCAGGGCTTATTAGCGAGTGAAGACACTTGTATTYGCCTCACTGGTATGCGGAAGTTTTCTGTGATAAGAAAGCATTGACTTTCAKTGACTAAACTGTCAAAAATAGCTTGGCCAATAACTATGACTTAAAAGTCAATGCCCACGAAACTGGTATGAGGAGCATCAAACCTTATTTACATAAAATACCCCATGAAGTTATTTCAACTCAGATATTCAAGCAATTTGGATGTATTAGTTCAGAAATGATTTCCGAAGTACAATGTTTACATGGATATTTATACATCGGTCCATAAAACTGAAAAAAAAAACCTGAAAAAAGTTCAGTCAAAAGTTTGAGTTACATATCAACTACGTGTTCCAATGTACCCAACAAAAAGTCATTTTTGAAGTCGTTTACTTATCACATTGTCCGTCAGAGTACGACTTCCCATTTCAAATAAAATTGCATCAAGGGCTTTGTTTAGAATATAAATACAAATCACTTTTTATTGCTCTCACTCTTTGCGGTTTGTATGCTGGTCACCATGGTATCTTTGTGCACATTTTGAATGGTATTCCAGTGGAGATGCGATTTTAGGACAAAACGACCAAAACACGACAAGATGACTGACATTTTAAAGAAAATTTGGAGTTCAGCTTCGGATCATAACGTTAACAACAACAACACCAATTTTTTAATGTAAACAATTCTAAAAATAATTATCTGTACAAATTACCAATTATAACGTTCAGCATCAATAGGAACAACTTATTTGACTGGTTTGTCTAGCAACTCAGCGAAAAACATCAAAGCACACTGCTTTCTACAAATATTGATCCCGTAAGTCGAGTCCAATGTGATATTTTTGTGGTGATATGCTGCAAGATCGAAAGTTCAGTGTTTTGGTTTTTCTGCGGTCATAGCTGCTGTCGGTTAATATAGTTTGTGATGTCACTTTGTGGTGAACATCAAAGGCATGTACCGACCTCTTGTTTTCTGACTGTGTAGGCGCAAAGTTCAATTGGCTTGTCATAAGCAAATTTGAACAATTAATTGAATTCGTTTTAGAGCTGAGACGGTTACTCGATGAAACAAGATGTAATAGCGATCAATTGTGCGAGATATGGTTATTGTTGTTGTAATTATTCAGTATTATTATAATATTATTATTATTATCATAAATCTTTATCAAAAGTTGTTTTTTTTAAATCCTTTTTGTATTCAACGTTTTAAATTGTTGTAAATAAGCTTATTGTCTATTACTCTATTTACAAAAAAATATTATTAACATCATTATTGTAATTATTAATTATCATTATTATATGTTGTATTATTATTATATTATATATTATATTATTATTATTCATTATTATCATAATATTATAATATGGAAGTTATCATCATTTTGCTATTGTTATTATTATTTTTGCTTTTGTTTTCATTATTGTTGTTGATGTTATTATTTTCATCATACTAGAAAACGATGAAAAMAAACAAACAAAGAAATGCTTGCAATAATTCCAATTTTACAATCAAGTAAATAAAAATTAGAGAGAAACAATTGAATATTTAAATGTGAGCAAACAAGTAATTCAACATTTATAAATTACAAAACATTCATGCAAATAGAATAATAGCTAAGCAAACATATTTAGGAAAGTGAACAGGTTGATAACCTTCGATAAGGGGAGGTTTTTTTTCTTGCATTAAGTGCTAATCCGAACGGTTCAGAGTTGTTCTTCGTTGTTGAGCCAAGCTCTGTGTGAGGTCTTGGTCTCTTGACCCATTTTCTACCTAAAAGACACCGGCATGAGCCACAGAGGGTTTTTAATGATCTTAGTTCTTGTCGACTGTCGTCTTTGTTGTCGGACTCTTGAACTTCACTACAAGACTGGAAGGAATTATCATCGTTTCTTGTTATTGAACAAATTCCGGTGTGAAAATGTTCATGTTTTAAAACGAAAGCGGAATTTCAGTTCAATTGCCTATATTTCTCGCTCTTAATGATTTTTTTTAGAAGTCAGTCGTATAAAAATTCATCTTTTTAGAATATCTTTTTAAAGCTTACGCCTCCGAGTTTATATATATATTATATATATGGCTATTTTTGAAGTTCCTTTTTTCGTTAACATCAGGCCGGAAAAAGACAGGAATAACTCCAATCGAAAGTGCAATCAATATTTTGAGAAACCAATAAAAATACCATATTTCATAATAAGCTTTATTTTGAAAGAATCATATACATTAAAAACACGCGTAAAATATATGCATTTTCACAGTAATTAAGTTTTTTTTTAAATATTAAAAATGGGTTTTTTATTCACATTTATATCGCATCTATATGACAATCTCCATTGCTTTTCTTTACTTTTAATAATTCCTGCAATTCACATTTGTCATTTGTCAGTTCTTGTGTTAAATGGAGGACATAATTTATTATTAATTGCAACGTAATCTTTTGCCGGCAAATTTCTCTTTTTATTGCGTGACTGGTACCCGGTGACACTAAAACAATTCTAGAAAACTTCTTCGTGGACTTCATTTATYAGTACACGTGATTTTYCATTCATTTTTGCAGTTAATGATATAAGCACTTTCTTGACAAACATCGTCCAATATTGTTGCGGAAATGGTAGAATGTACTTTAGACAATTTTGGTTCAATTTAGTCGTGATATTTTAAGAGCTATTTTTCAAAAAATTGCACAATAGTTGCTATATTTTTTTCATGAGTTCGAACTGCGTGAAATAACGACGCCATTTGTTTTTTTTYTRTKTTTTTTTTCTGTCGATCACTAGAACCGCTTTTTATTCAAATGCTAATGTTATATCTTCGAAACTCTTAAGCCCCCGATGAGAAGGGAATTAGTTGTCTCAGGCTCTGAGTGTTGAAGCAGATGCTTTTATTTACAGTTTTTTCTATAAAACAGTCATTTATCTCGGGGATGCATCGCCTCACTGCTGTTTTAGGGGTTTTAGCAGGGGGTAATGGCCGTTACATCTTGTATGTATAAACCCCTTTCTGTCTTTGATGTTATTATGGGAATGACCATTTTRTACAAACAAGTGTGGCTTTTTGACCTCTTTTTCAAGTTACATTTAGTCGACTTAAAATGTAKGTGACTATATTTTAACTGAGATAWTTTTTTCTCGTTRTAAAAAACGTCGAAGACCAAGAAAAATGGCGCCGAGTTTCCATGCTTCACTGCCATTTGTCGCCAGCTCGTAATTTGAACCCTTCGAAACAAGTAAACATGAAGATTTGAAACGCTGATTGGTCCGTCTCTTGTCATACAGGGGACAATGACAAGTTTAGGAACAATGGATCGCTTTAGCAATTGTAATTCGCCGCCAAAAACACGGCACTGTTTTACGACAAACTGCACTTCCACCCTGTATCTAAGAACATCATAACATTTAGCAAATATCTGGCGGACGTCAATCAAAAAAACTGTGGACAGAACGGCGCTCAGAGAKAATTCTGTCATGAATAATTAAACAAACAACAGAGTGGCTTTCCCGCCGACGACTGTGATTGGTTAGAAACGCATCACGTGTCGTGTAGTGTTGAAAAATTGCAATAATTACCGTCCAATTGTCAATGGTTGTTCACGGAGGGTTTGCGTGTTAGCAGAGGTGATAGTAGATGTAAAGTTCGAGAGGTGATTTTTGAAAGGAGTCAGCAGCGCGCACTCATATGAATGGCGGGAAACTGAGTATTGATGGCGTTACTTTGTTTACCTACCAAGCAGCGACAGCATTGACTCCTAGGACGTACAAGTAAATGGATCAAAGATTCTCTTAGAGTAATTCCATCGAACGATCGATCGCCGCGATCAAACGTTCGATCCGTTTGTGGTTCGTTAAGAAGGTATCCATCAGTTGACGGCAGTACATCGATCGCCACGTGTGATTTGTTTACGTTCGTTTTCGTTGTCTCTTAGCCTTGCAAACTGTTTCTTTAAGGTTTTCAAGGTCTTACAAGCTGTGATTTGTGTTTAGACTTGATATCGTTGTAATAGTAGCCGCCTCTTTACTCCCCTTCGCTGAATTCTCAGCCTCTTTAAATTAATCCTGGTTCCCACAACTGATGATGATCTGACTGTTGTTCTACCGTGTTGTTGCAGGACTAGAGGCTTATAGCATGACGACCACTGAGTACCCTCGTCTCTGCTGCTAGAAAATACAGGGTTGCGTATGATGAACGAAAGCCCAATTTCAAATCGTTCGCCGACAATGACAACAGATCGAGTTAGTGCACCAAGCCAGGAACGAAGTYATACTAAGGAAAATGACACCCAGCGTACTCCTACGTCGGACGAAGCTGGAGGTCGAACCACTACAAGTACTACAGATCATGATGGTGGGCGAATAACAGAGACTGATCCAAATGATGTTGACAATAAAACAAAGAGCCTCCAAGACAAGGATAGCGATAAAAAGGTATCTCAATATTTGTGATGAATTACAAAAAAAAAATCGTGTTTAAGGCGCTGATCGCGGTGCTAGGGAAGGATAAGGTAATACAGCACTCACACTTTCTATATTGCCAGTTGGGCAACCGAGATGTACACTAAAGGGTGTTTAGTAAAGCCAACATACGAATCGTAGCTACAGTAACTCATGAATAATGAAACCTTGCGATGAGGAGTTCGATACTGCGTTCGCGTGCATAGTACTTTAGGGGATGCGAATTCCTTGCATTCCCGCGTTTTTAGAGGTCTGTAAACAAAGTAACGTTCGTGTGGGTTATTGCACTTGTTTCTCTTCGTATGGTGCAGTGTAGGCGATGTATGGTGTTACTACCTCAATGTATTGTTGTAGAACTCTTTTGTGCCGAGCAAACACTGAACAAGGACTGGATGGCGGCAGTATTGTTAGTCGATAGTTCTCGACAAGATCGCACACACTATGTCAGCTCCAACTCATCTATCATGATCGGTTGTTCGCTTGTCTTTCTRCCGTGATTCCAGCTTCGTTTCAATCGGCCTTGATTAGCATTTATACACTATATTCTTTGAGAATGGCTTTGTTTCAAAGTAAAACAACTACTTAATGATCTTGGCTTTCCAGCGTTACGGTGTAATTTCGTGTCTTATTGAAATCCCTTTTAAATCAACTAGCTAATCAATGAAAGAACGAAAAAACGCATTCAACAACACGCAAAAATTTTGATCGTAACTTTAGTTTCTTCAACCCACGTCGGAATACCCGAATACTGCCGTTATCTCGTTATATAAACCTATTTGAATTGTCAGATTTTTTGGTGTTTCTTTGTCACATTTCAATGTGTTATTGCTAGATATTCCACCAACAATGACTAGATTTTCGCCATTATGTTCCTACAATATTGAATGTTTGATTGTAAACAAGAAAGCCACTAAAGTGTTTCATCTACACAATCGAACAAGTGATCGCGCGCTTTTTTCATGTTGAGATACCTAAAAAGCTCCTTCAGTTGGCATACTTTGTCACTTAGAGCAACTCGGTGTTTATAAAATTCAAAATTGCACTTTAACGAAGACATTTCGTGAGATGCGATTGAATTTATTGTGCGTGACTGATCTGGATGTTCAGCGAAGCTCGATCGATGTAAACGAATTTACATGGACAATATTGAATTAATGCCACCGGGCTAGCAATCCACCCACCAACATTCAAAACCTCGTTGATTTTATAGTGTTGTTCAAAACGGCACTTCGCGGGTGTAATTTACTGCCATCTATCATTAGTCTAGTGATTTTAGAAATCCTGATTAAGCTTTTGTTATCGTGTATTTCTCGATGTTTTGCAACGGACGCATTAAAAATCGCCTTTATCTTCTGTTGTTCTGAAGGATTTTGTCAAACGTTCACTACGCTTTCCAASTAAAAGGACCGGTAAAATCCCAACAATAACTTTTYGTAGAATTCTTTGGAAATGTAAAAATCAACCTGCAAGTTCGTATTTTAATAAAAAAGCTTTCGCGAGTGGATATTCAGTATCAGACAATGTTCTTAGTCGTTGTATAGAACTATAACGTTATCAAAAAAAAAAAAAAAAAAGAAAGAAAAAAAATTACCCATTCCTACTCTTTTTTTCCTGGCGGACTGTACTATTTCTGCCTTTCACGATTCATTGCTAATAATTCGCCGCTGTTGTATTTCCACGGGGAATATTTTTCATCACAGGGAACATCAAACAATATTCCACACTACGTTTCGCCAGATCATCTATTAAGGTGGCCCGATATATATGTTTGTCACGACCTTTTAACCATAAATACTTGTCCTTCCTCTTGCTAATACTTTTCTACAATTAACTGCGATAAATTAACTTTATCACGAACCTTTTTAATTCACAGAATTACTGAAAAAATAAGTTAAAAGATGACTAATTTTGAAGTGATATTGAAAAAGTTCGAAACCGTTGTTGAAAGCCAACGGTTGATGTGTCAGTAATGTTAGTACTAAGGTGCTTTGAGTTGGATGAATGTTATTTGTTCGTATAGATTTAATGGTTTTTTACTAGTATATATGTGTGAAGAGTAATAATTATTGTAGTTCATTGAGTTAGTTGGAGATCTCATGATAATAAGTCATGACCTCCAGTGCCATAAATAGTTCTTTTTCCTGTTCCCTGTGTACCCCCAATACCTGATTGGTTTGTGTCATGTTGTAGTAAACATCAATTTCTTTCTGCAGCAAGCACAAGTAAAACAACAACAAAACAAGAAAAAASTGTCCAGCAGTTTGCCYCGACAGGTAAAATTCACTGCTACGTTTTTGCCTTTYCGATATTGATATKTACCAAAAAGCACCCCTCTTTCCTTCCAACAACAACACATGTTTTGTTACATGATATTGTTGAAGGTATTTCAGATATCACAAAACAGGGCAACTATCCAAGATAGATAGAATGCATTTCGAACACCACTGAATTTAAATATCTTAAACTTCCATTAATTTATGGAGTATGTCAATGAACTTAATATTTCCAAGTGGTAATGTTACACACATTGACAATAATTACACCTTGGCATCTGAATCAGCTGTTTTTAGTCACTGGTGTAGATTGTTTTGTAATTTGATTTCTTAGAGGAAACATTATACAGGAATTTGTTGAAAGTTGTGGATGTTCAAGCTTGACCCCTTGAATACACACTTATATAAATCCTTTTGACTGGAGACCCTGTTTTAAATGTATCTCTGCGCAACCTCTATTGCTTGCCATACTATAAAGATGAATTTATTTGAAATAGCAACATTTCGTGTTATTTTTAACAAATTAATTTCTTCAAAATAAGAGTTATACAAAAAGAGCATGATATCATTCTTCCAAAAGAAGGAAAAACAAATTTCTAAGTGTACATTTGCTGTAAAAGAGCAATTGCTTAGAGCAAAATAATTTCTCATGGTTCCTTGAAACGGTATCAATTACTATTATCAGTAAGTGCATTACTTCCTACAAGTTTGACTCACTGTTTTCAGATGAAAGCAGATATATTTCTAGCAATCTAAAACTCAGTAATTTTGGTTTTTGCTGCAATTTAGTTGCATTGGCATTTTCACTTCAACAAAATTGCTGGGGAAACCTTTAAAAGTGAACTAATTTCAATACTTTGCTGTGTCTGTAAGCAAAACTTCTGCAGGGTAGTGGCATTTTGTAGCAGGTGACATGGTAAAAGGGTTAAAAATATCTCAGATAGAAAGACAATATTAATCCAATGCGAAAAGCATTGTATTAACCTTTTTTACATTACATCGAGGATGTCTTGTTCAGAGTAAGTGCTTCTAAATTTCAACTTGGATATACTATTATTGTAAAAAACCGTATGCTATATATAAACTTGTTGAAAGGATATCAAATTACCAAAGGGGGTTGCGACTGACAAGTACAAATAAAAATATGGAGCGTATTAAAAACATATATCAGCGTTAAATTGCTTTTATATCCATCTAAAAGAATTGTCTTGAATTCCTTTATTTAGTTTATCTTTAGTTCAGTTAAATAACAGAGATTTATTATTATCACACATTTGTTTACTTCCTTTTTCACATACAAATATTTCTACTTGTACTTACTTTTGTTATGGTTTGTGCCAGACGAAGTCACCAGTATACAGTAGCCGCACCGCAGGCCGTACAAATCCGCAAAACACTCTGCCGTCTTGGCCAGTTACTGCGTATCCTCAAACTTGGCATTTTCCAGGGATTCGAGCAGCCCAGTTCCATGCCCCCGCACCAATGTATCCTGGATACCAGCAAAGTAGTGTAAGTTTTTCAATGAATTTGATTCTTTCTTTAATGCAGTGAATACAGTCCCCTAGATACAGTATGACATTGTTCAGTACTGTCAAAATCTGAACACTTTTTCAAAAAGAACAGCAAGTTCATTGGCTTTGTACTATTTTGTTACTAATGGAAGATGGGAAGATATTAGCAATATGGTTTTATGACCGTGTACAAGTCCTTGTAAATTTGAATTCCCTTTGTTTTGACCCAAGTTAAATTTATGTTGCCATTCAACCATAAAAAGCACCAATGTTTTGGTTATAAAACAAGGGCACAATGATCGTCGTAAGATAGTAGGTCTTTCAGAGTATTATACAACTCAATCTCACTCCAAGACCCTATTATAAATATCAACTCTATCATTTAAACCCATTCACGTAATTGTTTTGGCTATAAGAAATACTTCCCCAAATCTGATAACATAGTTCCCATATCCAACCATTTGTATCGTWATGTGTTGTGAGTTTTCCTTGGAACAAAACTACATGTTAATTCTGATTGGCATATGACAAGTTGACACAAAAAAACTTCTTAAAAAACATATTTGAACAAATTTAAAATTTACATTTGAAAGATAACTTATTATATATTGGATTTTTACTATTTCTCAAGCAAAAACCTTTATATTTTTAGATATCATTACCCCCCCCCCCAAAAAAAAACTCCCAAAAGCAGATGAAAGATAGCGTTGACTCTTGTGAAGTGTTTTGCATGGACAATTAAAATAAAATTAAAATATTTTGATAATAGTGCGATGTTCACACAACAACAGTTACTACAGAAAGACATGACGTTTGGAAAAGGTCAAGGTTGATCATTCAAAGGATGGAAACGTTACTGACAGATTTCTAATTATAGATCAAACTTAAATTTTGACTGAACATTTACTACCTTGTCTACCCTGTAAAAATTTAAAAGAAAAATTAAGAAAAATGCAAAAAAAAAAGGTCAGGAAAAGAAGAAAAAACCTCTGAAACCAGCAATTGTCTACCAACCATGATCTTATTTTGTGCCCCTGAAGAGTTAATTTTTATTTTTCCCCTATATCCACAGGTTTACTCAGTGTCTTCATCTAATTCTCCTGGATTAAGTAGTAGAGGATCTAGTGACAGAGCTGACAGTTTAGGTGGAGATGGAGGAGAAGAAAAACTTAGCAAAACAAATTTATATATTAGAGGTCTAAAAGCAAATACTACTGATGAAGACTTAGTACGACTTTGTCATAAGTAAGTAAACAACTTAAATTGTATGATAAGTCATTACTGTCCCTTTCCGGAATCAATTTAACCTTGTATGTCTGTTTAATATTTTGTTTGAATGTAAACTTCAGGTCCCAGTAGAAAACAATATATCCCTTTTTATAATATCATTAAACAGAGAAATAGTTTAACAAAAGCTATGAATGATAGCCAAAAGAAATGTTGTTTACCTATTATAGTCTGAGAAAACTTAACTTTTAACCATCTGTTGTTCTGTAATTTTATKATGTGGTGGATTTCTACCGTCCATTCATAGAAGACTGYAGWTTTTGCAAGTCCTTGTAATTTAGATTGCATCTTAAATGTTTATAAACCTTCTGTTTTAAGGGATAAAACGTTCTTTATTTTAAAAGACATAAAAGGCGAATTGCCTTGGTTTATCTGTGAAATAAAGCAATTGGAGAGCAATCAGAAATACATGTACCAAACAAAATTCTTCACGTTCTGGAATTTCCACAAGTGCCTAAATTACATTTTATAGCCAATATATATAATAAACCACAGCAATTTATCTATTAAAATTGCTTAAATAACAAACAAACAATTATATTAGAGAAGTCTTTACTGTCGGTCTAAGAGTAAAGCACTATTCTATCACAGATGACTGGAAATCACTGCACACGTCTTACACACTATATATATCACTTCAGAGTTATTTTTCTTGTTCCTGAACTCATAAGTAGTAATGGATTTGCATTATGTTCACCCTATAATCTAATGAATTTTTTGTTTGGTAGATATGGGACTATTATTTCAACAAAAGCTATTCTAGACAAAGACACTAATTTATGTAAAGGTAAGGATAGACTCAAAGTCCTGGATTGTTCTGTAACAATCTTCACTGTATACACGTAGTACCAAAACATCACTTTATAATCATGTCTTTAGACCCATATGTACAATTAAAGACGACTTTATTTTGTACTTGAATATTTTTGAATCTAAATCAAGGACTGGTGCTTCCCAGCAGAGATGTATAACCTCCTGCTATGCTGTAGTTAGCTGTCATTTGTATTTTGATGCCACGCTTGCAGCCAGTAATACACTAGATATACATGTAATTATCATATTATCATTAGTAAATTAGTCATTCTTGTCTCTGTTAAAGCTGCTAGAAGAAAACGCTATAGACATAGGAAAAATGAAAATTAATGTGAATGTATAGAGTTCAATTTATAGTAACTCATCCCAAAGAAATACTGAAAAAGTAGAAATGAAATATGGTGTCCTATATGTGTAACCAGCTGTATCCTACAAAGCAAAATAAGAGAGAAAGGAAAACAAAGAGAATTAAAGCAAAGAAAGACAAGCAAGACAAGAGCTAGAAATTAGAGCATTTGCACATTTGGTTTTGCAAAACCAGGTTTTGCAAAATCATTGCAAAACCAGGTTTTGCAAAATCAGATGTTGTGTAAAATGTGTTTTTCAAAGATTGAATGATTGAAAGCATTATGCCTCTTTTTGTTCACTAGGCTATGGCTTTGTTGACTTTGAAAACCCATCGTCAGCCCAGAAAGCAGTGCAAGCACTTGTTACCAGAGGGATCCAGGCACAAATGGCCAAGGTAAGGCAATCCGTCTACTGTAATCAATCATAAACTAGCTGGTATATCACTGCCTAATGGTATAAAAAGTGGAAAACCACGAGCACCTTGCAGGTACTAACTGAGTAAAAAGTCATTACCATAGTCCATCAGAGGGTTTTGCGGTTGCTTTGATGATTAACACCAGTAACCACGAAGCAACAATTGAAACTTGAAAAGAGTTCTGGTCATTTTAATGAACTAAATCCAAACATGGACACCTCTTGCCACACTTCTTCTCAAACTGTTCTTGTTTTTAATTAATCTTCATTGAAATAAAACAAGTGGTCTTTCAAGTTAATTCTAAAGGATTTAATTAAATAATATCTCTATGGATATAAATGTAAGTGAAACTTCAGCAATAAAATGAACAACATTAAACCTAACTTAGTTTATAAAAGTTTAAAAACTTCCCAACAGAGCAGAGCAGATTGTGACCTAGCTAAAAAGGTTTAACTTTACAAAGTGGTCCAAATACATTTTTAATAAGTTAAGATTATGTATAAACAAAAAGCAATTACGGACAATCATTGACCTGTTGTATATGATTTATTCACCTGTCTAATGGCTTTAGCTGCTACGGAAAGGATAAATGACTTGTGAACACACGCAGGGCCATACAGCAGTGGAATGTGGTTATWAACAGGTGCAACATTGTGTCATTAAACAAAGACTTACGGAAAATTGGCTTCCTGAGTAACAATAATCAATATAGTATAATAATTTCAAAATTTGATCAAAAATCTGTTTTACATTATTTATGAATATCCTACAAAAGTAAATACATAATGAGTAAATATTATGAATACTTAATTATATGACTATTTTAAAAATGAGTTTGGAAAATACTGGATTAACGTAATTAAACAGGTATTTTAACTTAGATTCTTTTTTTCTTTGTTTGGTTTTTATTAGTAAATTGTACATTGATAAAATGAAGGTTCTGGAACAAAAATCTTCGCTGTGAATAATTTGAAATGATTCAATGGAACATAAAGTAGCAATTCTTTTAATTCTTAGCTTGAAACTGGTACTTTAACATTAACCCTTTTCAAACCATGAAGATATTGTTATGCTCTTATCACTCAAGTGTGATAGACTATGTGATTAGTTTAATTGGCACTGCTGAGAAAACCAGTGCTTTCTTTGACAACTTCAAGAGCTGTTCAATTTGTATTTTCACGTGAAAGGGCCCAGCAGGAAACGTTTGTAGCACAAAAACTTAACAAACTAATTAAACAAGAGCAAAACAAAGGAATTCTATGAATACTTATGCTAATTCCACTTGGAAAGCAATATGTTGTTGATGGYTCTAGCATAAAATCACTTGTTCACYGGTGGCAATTCAGCTGGTRGTCCTATAGACATCTGCTAGCTTTATGTTTCTTGTCCTTTCTTTTTTACCTCCTGTTGTCACATGGCAGTGCAATGGTTACGTGTTGATATACAATAATATCATAGTTTTGAGCTGCACCTTTGAGCAGTGTAATCATTTATACAAATACACTTCAATAGTCGTTACTCCTGTTGTATTTTGTGTCTATTGTTTTGTGTCTAATATTGGACCATTGGAAATCATCTGTTGTCGAGTCTTCCTTTGTTTTACTAGTAAATCTATTACATAATTCTTCTTTGTGGCTTTTGTCCACGTGACTGAAAACCCCGCTCCACTACCCCCAAAGGAACATCAATAAACAATGAAAAGAAATGAAATTTGCATGACTAAATGTACAATAAACTAGACTCAAGAATTAAATAATTAAGTTTACCTCAAAACATTAACCTCAACTTACAAACTGGTACAAAAATATAAAATGTCTTGAGAGTATTGCTTCTTATTTTGATAGCTACAAGTAGAGGAAAAATCCTCTAATTTAAGAAAACGTTTTTCATCTATCTATATTGCTGCTAATACACTGCCAATATACCCTGGCACATTGATATGCTTTTGTTATGTAATTRAACAGTTATCATTGCTAACCTCGGCTTTCTTGTCCAATTCTTGGCTTCCTTGTATTGTTCTTGTACTCTCAGTTTTTTGTTTGTTACTCTAGTGTCTTGCAATAGTATTCTTGTATTGCTTGTAGCCTTCTTGTSTTAGCCATTGGTGCTTACAACATTTGCTGGAAATTTTAACCTACTTGGTCCCTAAGAAAAAAAGAATTTCCAATGTTGATTCTGCATGACCAGTGTACAAATTGCAACATTTATAAATAGCACAAACTTTGTTTTTTGATGTCTAATTAAGACTGTTTATCTAGTAGTAGACTAAAGTAGACAAAGGAATTAGCATAGTTTAGAACTATTTAAGCTTTGAGGATTAAGTGTGTCACCTCTGATACAATAAAGTTTCTAGCTGTTGTTATAGGTTAAAGAGTTATTTTTAAGGAATTCAAGGCCTTTCTTGCTTCTTTTTACCCTCCACTTATGGCCTCATTTTTCTTGTTTGACTAAACGTTTTTTTTATTTTGTAGCAACAAGAACAAGATCCTACAAATTTATATATTCAAAATCTTCCACCACACTACGATGAAGCTGTAAGTACTGTAATACTATTTTTTTTTCAAATATAGGTCACAACATTTAATAATGTATTTGTTCATCTTTTAAGATGTTGGAAAACATGTTTAGCAAGTATGGCAAGGTCATTTCTACTCGGATTTTGCGAGACAAGGATACAAATAGCAAAGGAGTTGGGTTCGCCAGGTATGTCTCATACTGTTTAATATTTTGACTTTTATTTTCCCATCTTTTTTTCACTAAGCTATTCATCTGTACGCTTTTTTTTGTTTTTTTTGACCATCCATTGGCTACTCAAACTGAATAATTATGATGTTATGACTATTATTCTCCAATGTAGTTACTATCTGTAAAATCTAATTAGTTTTTGCCTATGTTTTTGCCAATGTATTGGTAGGCTGACCTTTTTGTATGAGTCAACCACTAAAATCATCAAAG